CTCTGCCAGGCAATATCCCCATCTCTGCCTCTCAACAAGCTCCGCTTCTCTCCTGGCCACTCCACTTTCCGTAACATTTTTAGCACTGTGACGTGCTGTCTTACGTGCTGTAACACACCGTACTCCGCTCATGTATCCGATTCCTTCTGCTGTATGAATTCTGCCACCTAAACGGAGCTATAAAAACTATGCAGTGAATGTACAAAGACCTCCCCCATTCCCTTCCCCACCTTACCAGGCTAGCTCCATTTTTAGCAATCACAAGTGATCTCAGACGCACTGAATAAAAGATAGTTACCTGCCTTCAGAGAGCAATTTTGCCTGTTCCCAAGAGGTGGCTGAAGGTGGGATTCATTGTATTTACTGCTGTAACTACAGCTCTCAAGGTCGCATCCTCCCTGAGCTGTGCTGGTCAAGCTTAACAGCACAAAAGGATGTGCTGTTGCTCAACAGGCTGACTAATTCCTTGGTGTATTACAGAAACAATCTCCATGCCGTTTCCATCTCAAAAGGCCTTGATTTCTTATAGCCTGAACTGCATTAACAACACATTTCATTACATTTTTTAATAGAACGTGGCTAAAAGGAGAGCCCTAAAGATAGTTTGCTGTAGAAGAGTCTACTATAGAGTCTACAAAGTCCCTGGGCTTTGGATACCGAAAGAGACACTCAGTGAATAGCTATGACATGAATCTCCTGAACAGTGCATTTAGGAATCAAGTCTTTTGGTAATTCTCGAATGACGATGGATAATTTTTGGTGAAGGAAAGTGAATTTTCACATGGCCATATGGTCACAAGCCAGGCCAGTATTTTCTCCAGCTTCCTTTTAGTTACTGCTCCATAGTGAAGCAGAGAAGGGCAGGTAGCTCTCCTAGCCCAAGTCCCAGCATTGGTTCACATCAGCCCTGTACGCACAGATGGGAGAACTGGTACAAGCCGTAGCTTGCAGAAACGGCACGAGACAGAACATAGCTGAGAGGTGCGAGATGCCCGTGCTGGCGGCACGCGTGCCAGGCTCCATTCTGCCTCCAGCCCTCGTCACAACGGTGGCTTCAGGCAGGACTCAGGCTGGTGCTGCCCTCACGATGGGAAAAGAGAAATGATATGGCTAACAACAAGATGCTTCCTTGCTGGACAGGCAGACTCATCTCAGATAATACAAGAACAATCCTCTAAGTCTTTGTCAGTCATCACCTGCTGTGCTTTTCTAAGGTAAGAATCACCTTAGCTCTCCATAACTTAATCATCTCAGCGGTAGCCAGCAAGAACAGAAAAGCGGATGAGTGTCACTTATTAGGGACTATGGCAGCTAGCAGTCTTTTGTTACAGGTCCATTTTTGTCTTTCTGCTCCATTTTCAGAAAGAAAGTGGTTGGCAGGAATAAGTTACACATAAATCCAGAATCTATTGCTTTCTGAATGTTGTACATGGTCTCGTGCAGCTGCAGCAAAACCCAGCCAAAACAAGATGTAGATTGTGCAAGAGCCAGGATGGAGCTGGAGATCTCTGTTGAATCTCAGGGGTTTGTTTGTGAGTTATTCCTATATTCGGAATTTTATCCTTGCAGTAAAATCTTGGTGTCCTGAGACTACCCGGTAGGCACTTGCTACAGTGGGTAACTGTCCTCTCATGCAGATTTTTAGGCACATACATAGACGAAAATACGCACTGCTGTAGAGATTTGTAAGCAGTACCAAGATTGGTCTGGATGAATTATGAATGGAAACATCTGTGTGTGTGAAAGCACAACCAACCTGTCAGCAGCAGACCTGTCCTCTGATGACAGGAGGATTAGAGAGCACATCGCTTCCATAGCCTGTCTGAAGGCAGGCTGTAGCCATAAAGCTTCCCCAAACAAGGAAACAAAACGGTAGCAGCACTGCTTAAGATCTATGGAAGCTGAAAAAACCAAGACCCTGAGGTGAAAGATCACCCCGTAACAACAGGTAAGTCCTAGAAAGTGTAAAAAACAGTCCAAGAGCCAGTCTGTTGTGAAGAACAACTCAGAAGACATAGCGAAGGCTTGACAGATGGTGTCCCTGGTCCTCCCTGCAGCACACAACCAAGCCTGGCTACAGCATATGGATGCACGAGGCTTGGCGCCTGCACGGGGTGGTGAGAGCGCGAGTGAGTGAAACCTAGAAGCGTGAATGACTGAAAACAGTTTTGTTTAGAATAAATATCACCTTTCCCTTCTATAAGGCCTCACATTGAGTTTTATTATATTAATTTTCTACAGTGGTGCACAACCACTGTGCAGTATAAAAGCTGGGTAATATAGCTGGGGGACTTTTTGTATGGCAAAAAATTAAATGGAGCATGTGTTGACATTGTCAGCACTTACGGGCATGCGCACGAGCTTAAATTCCAGGAGACACATCCTTTAGACCAGGTAATCTTCAGTATACTTCACGTTCAGGTAAAACCCTAAGGGGAATATTTTCTTGAAGGAGGGCCTAGCATATCTGAGGAGAAGTATATCCCTACATAATAAGCCTCTCCATTAAAAAAAATCCAGGATGTCACGCACTCTGGTATTCACACGAAAAGCAGTATTGCTCAAAATCATGCACTACAGAAAATTCTTCAGCTGCAATACTTTGCACTGGCACTGAGCAGCTATAGCTAGCTGCAGCCAGCTCGCCACAACAAACATGAAAGCAGTCAATCAGCATCACCTTAAAAGCACGTTTGTATGACTGAGCGCAGGTATTTTAAGACCTTCCACAGCAAAGTTTCACCAAATCTTTGATCATTTCAGTGTGCCACTTTTGGAAGTTGTCCTTAAACTGAAAAGGATTATAAAAACATAAAAAACTTGGGAAAACAAACCCTCTTGGACGATGAGGTTTTGAATCCATTTTCTTCCCTGTGTGAACATACCGAAGAGATGCATGGGTAGGAAGAACTAGGGCAACCTCATCTTACTGAAAACCAGGTTTTTGACAGTCACTGGTAAAAACTGTCTCTGACCTAGGAGTATCTGCATCAGTCAGAAACCCAGCATTAAAAAGAAAATAAACTTGCCACAGCTAACACAGTCATATGAATCTTCATTTTGCCTCCCTGGGAACACAGCTACAGCAAACGAGAGAGGTCAAGAGAAATCTGATTTAGGAGAATACACTTCTGTCCCTCAAAGCTATTCCCCAAACAATTCCTTTCTTTGCTGCAGGAAAAGAAAGCAGAGTAACTGCCCTCCCACCATGTTTCAAGAGAATAGAGCCCTCTTAGCTCTTTGTACTCTCAGCCCTGTTTGCTTATCGCTTGCAGCTCAGACAGACAGCTGCAGTTCCCACCGGCTTTCCAGAGGAGATCAATTATCCCACCTAGGAACAAAGCATCCAGGAACCACTTAATCACACTTTTCAGAGAAGTAAGAGGAGAAACCATCCCATCCCTGACAGAGCGGCTGGCAAGGATGTTCTGGCAGCATTCGAGGTTGGAATACCAAATGTTAGACTTGTTCTAATAAAGATATTTGGATTGCAAGACAGGATTTTTCTTTCTTTGGTGAGCTGATAGCTACATGCCGCCTGCCTTCAGGGTAAAACAGCACTTGTATGGGTGCAATATTTTGTTGGCAGAAATGTTCTCTCTCCAGGAAAGCGCAGTCAAAGCAGCCAGCGTATGCAATGATAGGACACAGACCTTTCAGAGAATTATACCCCTTCCCAGGAGGGTAAGCTATGTAAATATAAAAAGGAAAAAATTCTATTCTGCACGAAAGCAGATTGTTGCCCCGCATTGCCAAGGGACTGAACCTAATCACTAATCCTCTGCATCTTGTAGGGGAGGCAGAACTCCAAGCCACAGGACTGTGGTGGTGTAGCAGGAATATTTCCCCGGAGACAGCAGCTCACGGAAGAGATAAGGTACATTGCAGCTTTGGAGTGACAAGATTGCTATCGCAGCCTCTGCCTCATTACTATTTCCAACCTTCAGCACAGATCTATGATGCCTTTCCAGGATTAGCCTACTTCTAAAGCTGAAGAAAGTCTCTCAATTTACAGCCTGTTACTTATTTAACACCAGAATCACGTTAATTGAGAGTGCCTTTGGACTACCCCAGCATTTTAGCAGTATGGTGAACTTGGAATACCACCTAGGACTAGAGAGCGCACAGAGTGATGCCAAGCGCAGTACTTGGCTTAAACAGAGCACGTTTTAGGTATACAAACATTTTGGCCTCATACCTAGAAGCACGGAATCTGATAGTATATATTGCCCCCTTTTTTAAATACTGGGCTTTTTTTGTCTTCAAAGATTCCCATGAATGGTCATCTTAATAAAATGATGATAATCTCCATATATGGCTTCAAATAATGGTAAGACAAAAAATGAGAATTGGAGACAAGCCAGACGCCAAATTTCTGGCCTAAGGATCCCCTGCTTTGCATTCTAGTATAAAGCCTAAGTGCAGCAAAGTGTGTTACAACTCTTCTTGGGGTCAAAAAACGTTTCTAAAACACATTCTTTTAGGACATTGTAACTCAGATGAACAAAAGACAGCTTGTTACCAGAAGCATACACAGGCTTCTAAGTATGTATTTTGATATCAGAATGATTATTTTGCTACTTTCATCCTTTTAATCACCTTGGCACTTTTTTTCCCCCCAAACCAAAAGGCTACCTTGAAATAGAGAAGACGGGCAGCTATTGTGCAGCATTAAAGACTACTGGCTTATCGTTTATTACCAGTAATAAGCCTCAGCTATTCACCCTGAATTATTCTTCTAAAGGCAAAGCGGTTAAAAGTAACGGGTATTCTGCTTCAGCTCAGAATAATGAGGACACTAAAAAAGTATATAAACAGCTAGAGTATGTGCCAGCTATGCAGGCAGAGAGATCCGCTCTACTCTAATTGAATGGGCAGTACACCTGCAGCACAGGCAAGTCAGACAAACACAGCATCTATCATGCCGGAGGAAAATTAATAGGTGTAAGAACAACAGTGCATCCCACAAGTGACTACCCAGCTCCCTTTCAATGACTTACTTTCCCTCTGATCCGTAGCTGTTCATGCTGTCCTCAATGGACTCATGGCTGGCTTGACGGACGGTCCGGCTGGGCATTTCGACAGCCAGCCCCGTTTCTGTGCTCCTTTGGATGGCTCCCTTCAGTCTCCGACCATCCCCATCTAGGAACAAAAGGGGAGAGAAGACAGTCAGCTATTGTTCCCAGAGCCTTTTGCAACGACAGAGTCAAGGAGAAGCAGAGAAGGTCTTTCAGAAGATCAGCCTGGCATCTGGCAGCCAGGCAGTATCTTGCACTCACGCAGCGTTTCGTTACTCAGCCCTGCTTCATCAGCAGCTCCCAGTCATCTTTGGAACAAACCCAGTCCTCCAGCAAGCCAGGGCCCAGCAGAAACTCAAAACATACATACCACCCTACCTACTCCAACCATTTGTACCAATTAATTATGCATCAGGTGCAGGTGCATGCAGGCACACAAGCTGGCTATATGTGGAGCTACCCAGTTTGGGAACACAGCAGCAGTAACCATGGGCACAGCTGAGGTGTACAGCCTGACCATGCCTCGAAATGTTTCCTAAATCCCATGTTGCTGCCTCAGATTGTGTGGAGCAGCAAAGAGCCGCAGCTCCTGGTGAGCATCAAGGGAGTAGAGGGGAGGAAAAGGCCAGGCAGCACCAGAGGTGATGTGAAGGCAGGAGCCCTCCCAGACAGGCCATAGGGGAAAAGTTGGACACGGCCAAAACATTCCCTGGTGGCACCTGTAATGGCACCAGGAGTAGAAAACCCCGGAGAGGACTATTCCCCTTTGTACTCGCCCTCGGCCAGAGCGCAAAGGGAATTAAGTAGGTTCTGGTTCCTCCTGGGTGCAGTCTTCAGAGGCTCAGCCCTCTGAAATTAACAGCTGCTATTTTCATCCTCCATCTCTAGCAGTCTGTTTCTGAGAACAAACCATGTTATGTAATGAATATGTAATGAATACCATTACTATTAATTGCTTTAGCTGGTGTTAGGAGGCTCCAAATTTCATCCCACATACAGCGTTCATCCTGAAACACATCTGCTACAAGTCTTCTGAACAAAGCAGAATTATCTAAATCCTTTAAAGGTGCCTGTCCATTAACCCGGATTCAGGCAACAAATCTCTGACCCACAGTGCTCTCAGAAACCCACCAGCTTTTTGAGTACCACCCTGGAGAAGAAATGACCCAGCTACTGACTCTAGAGAACTCAAGATCCCCAAATATTAAAGAAAACAAGTCTTTTCCCAGCTACTTTGGAAATATGAGGATATCTGTAAGAACCTGTCTAAAACATGCAGAACATTGTTATTTGTGTAGCAAGCTGTTTGACCTAAAACACTTTTCTTTGGATCTTGGTGTGAACAGGCACTTTAAAAAAAAAAAAAAAATCAGTAAGATATCAAAAATGCTTCCTATCCTACTTCTCAAATTATACCTACACTGAAATGCAAAGGCAAAAATTCTTCCATAAACTCAGCTATAAAGTCCCTTTTCCTCTGGTATCATGAGGTTTCCAACTGAGTAAACATGTTGGCCCCAGAGTTCTATACCAGCTGCTATCCCCACATTTGGTGCAGTATGTGTATGCATGTCCCTGTGGGCTAAGAGGATAGAATATGCATGTTCTGGGTTAACATTAACTACAGTTTGTATTGTTTGTGTGCCTAGAGCAATGTATGAAGCACATTGTATAAATCAGGAAGTTACACAAATGTAAAACATATTTTTAATGTGCTTTCAAAATCCAAACCTTCAGGCAAGAATAACAATATAGGCATCAATAAAAGCAAAGCCTCGTGAAACAGCCTTGCTGACTTCCCCAGCCGCTGCTGAACAGTTCCCTTTGACGCACCTTCAACAAGCCTTGTGCAGCTTGCTGGATCCTCTGATGGTGTTTCTAGGTTCCTTTCAGAGAGCACCCCACAGCCTTGCCGGCAGACTTGATGGTCCATTTAATTTGTCTCGCATTCACCTCCACAAATAATCTTTTAGTCGTCTACACCCATCAATGCCCACCCCTCCTTCACGTGTGCATTCTCAGAACACTTATCCTTCTGCACCTTTTAGGTTAGTCCTTACAAGAGCCTTGGTAGGCAACCACAGTCAAAGCAGCAAATGACAAATGTAGGAAACAAGTTAAAAATGCCCTGTTGCCCACCTATGCAATATCTGTTTAAAAAAATCTATTTCCCCAATCTAATAAGACATGCCTGGAGACATTCATACTTAGAAGACTATGCATCCACATCTGGCAACAAACAAGAGGCTCGGGACAGAGCAACCCAAGGTACTTGCTGCTTTCTATTAGCCATCTCCTGATTCAAAGCTAATGACATAAAGCAGAAGGGCCCAAAGACAAGGAAAGGCAGCACCGTTGAAGACAGGTAGTACCAGAGCACTTGTACCGGAGATGATTCAGCTGGCACGGGGCAAGTTCAGCTGTAGCACCACACGCACAGCCTTGCACTACTGGCTTTCCGTGAGTGGGTGGTTTTCTAGTATTCCTGATTGCTTTTACAGCTATGACACGTGGATATTCTTATTTAAAAAAAAAGAAAAAATTTATAATGGAGGAACTCTGGAAAACAAGGAGACAGGAACAGATGACAAGAACCCTTCGCTCCTCCCTCCTCTTCCAGACAGAGATGCACAACGACTCCTGCATCTCACAAACCATCTCCCATTATTCTGGAGAAAGGTTTCTCCAGCCTTTTTCTCCTCCAGCCTCTTTTTGCCAGAAGTTTCCCTTGAACAGAAGAGAAGGAACCTGTTTAACCAGAAGGCAAGCTCCCAAACCACTGCAGCCAGAGTCAAGACTGAAACAGGGTAAGAGATTGGCACAAGCACCAGAGATGCCATCAGAAATGGGATGTAGGTTCCTAAATCACTCACTTAAACCCTTTAGCCAAAGTTTACCCATAGTCAGCACATTACAAGAATACAGTGTTTTAACCCCCTCAGTTGGGAGGGAAGGGCAGATCAGATGTAGCATACCTGGAAAGGGTCAGCGTAGAGAGGAAATAAATAATCTGCACTGCTCATCTGTGGACTGAAAACATTTCACAAGCAACAGTCACCCACTAGCAACCCTCCCTGGTCAGCGTGGAGCATCGCATAGGGGCTGTGCCTCCTCCCTTACCTGAAATCTTGTGCTTCAACACCTTTGCAAATCAAGAAGGTAAATGATATGCGTCTATGTGGGTGTTGCCTGGCAAAACCATTTGTCGTAATTTAATGGTTAGCAGTATCTGGAACAAGTAATAGTAGTATTGATATTTTCCGCAGTGTCACCAGATTTATTCCCCGCTCCTTTTCATTAAGCAGTAAACAACAAAGGTTAAGCAGCTGGTCAAGTCTGCAGTGCAACACACAGCTGAAGAGCAGATTCTGCTTCAGAATGACCTTGCGAAGAAGAAATTTTTTGCTCAAATATCCAGGATGAAGATACACAGCACCTCGCAGACACCAAGAACCAGAAGGGACCAGCAGACACTTTGCCAAGTTCTCTGTGTTGACAGGCACTTAGATTTTTGCTCTGTTCAGCCAAACAATTTACGTTTGGCTAAAGAATACCTTCTAAAAAGCTATCCACTCTGGATTTGAAGATATCAAGAGATGAAGAATCTGCCATTTGCCTATGCAGTTTATTTTACTACCTGACATTTAGAGATGTGACTTAAGTTCGTCTGGTTTCAGCTTTCACCCATCCATTTTTTTAATGCCCTTCACCACCACGGTGGCTGCTTTGTGTTCTCACTATAAAGACTCTTCTGTGGCGTAATCAAGTCATCTCTCAATCTTTTTTGACAAGTTAAACAGACTGAGCTCTTTATGTTTCTCATGTTCTGGCATTTTTTTTTGCTCCTGCTCTTGAAACTTTTTAATGACCTCCCCAGGTTTTAAATGCCCTTTTGAGAACACGCACAGAGTTTTAGTGTTCTAAAACTAAAGAGAACTGCATTTAGTTCTCTTTAGAGAACTACTACACTGCGTTTTAGCGCAAAAACACGTACAGAAGTAAAAATCAGCTTGTACTCTCATCTTCACTGCTTCATCTTGCATCTCCCACGACCACAGGAAGCTCTTGGTATAGCATCACACCTCACCTGTGCAGTCCCTGCCTGTCCTGCTGGTATGACCTTGTAGAACATTATATTAAGAAATATGTAAGAAAACATATTTTATTTGAAGAAAGAGAGCAAAAAGTCCAGACAGCTCTATACAACTCTCCCACCCTCAATACTATTTATCACCCTTCTAATGTGCATATCACCTGTGAATTTAGTGAGGTTTAAACTCATGCTTGCTCCAAACGCTGAATAGCACCAGGCCTTCAAAAGAGCCTCCTGCCTTTGAGGCTTTCGCTTGACAACTGCTTTTTGAAATGTGAAGTAAGTTTTTAATCTATTTATCACTATCACATTTTTTAGGGTCATGCTGTTCTAGGACAAAACCCTAACACACTTATCACATTTATCCAGATACCTGCTTCTACTAAAACTTGGAGAAACAAAATGCCTGACAAGACCCATTTTCCCTAAATCCTTCTTGACTGGTATTAATTATATTCCATCATTTTGTTCTTTATTAATTGGATCTCATTATCATGTTTCCCCTAATTCTGTCTGTGAGTGACATCAGAGCAACTAACCAAAAGTACCCTCCAGACAACCCAGTAATGGACAAAAAGGAGTAAGGTGACCGTGCAGGTGCCCTGCATAGCACAGAGCATTATTTGGAGAGTTCCCTTCCTTAAATATATTTTCAGCTGTCAACCGCATCGAGAGGCCACCCTTCTCAAGGATGATGCCACTCCTGTAGCACAACTGCCTGCCACCAAGAACTGTATTTGCCTTAAATCTTGGGGGTGGGAAAAATAAGAGCGGCATTGTCCCCTTCTCTCCCCCGAGGAAAGAGTCACCATTTCTCACGTCCTCTTCTATGTCAGCCCAACACACGACTCTTCGAAGCCCTTCCTCTCTGCTACTGACAGGTCTCTCCATGCTCAGAGGCCGTCAAGTCTTGAAAAATCTATGCGAGTTCTGCAATAGCTCATCACAAGGTCATGATTATATAATTATTACTCCTACACAGAATTACTCTAGATGTTTATTGAGTTGATGTTTCTGAGAGACAGA